GACTGCTGAGTCCATACAGTGTGTGTGTGTATGGTGATAGTGTATGTGTGTAGAGTGTATGTGTATGGGGGGCAGAGTGTGTGTATGGGGGGCAATGTGTGTCTATGGGGGGCAATGTGTGTGTATGGGGGGCAGTGTGTGTGTATGGGGGGCAATGTGTGTGTATGGGGGGCAATGTGTGTCTATGGGGGCAGTGTGTGTGTATGGGGGGCAGTGTGTGTGTATGGGGGCAATGTGTGTGTATGGGGGGCAGTATGTGTGTGTGTGTGTAGAGTGTGTGAACACCCCACCCCCCCCTAAGCCTACCTGTCACTGGAGGATGTTGCTGGGGGTCAGCCATCTTCTGCAGCAGCATGGGCTGCTGCATTACGGCGGGGCGGGGCTTATCGGCGGGAGGCGGGGCTTCGTTTGGGGGCGGGCCTGTGGCTTCGTTTGGGGGCGGGCCTGTGCCGGGGAGCCAATCAGTGCTCCCTCCGGCCACAGACAGCCCCCAGCACCTCTCTCCTGCATTCCCTCGGGCTGTGACAGGCTGTTACAGCCCGAGGGAAGCCCATGGCCAGCAAGTTGCCGGCATTTGGGGGGGCCCAAGGGGGGGCACAGCATGATGTAGGGGGGGCCATGGCCCCCTCTGGCCCCCCCCTAGCGACGCCACAGAGAGAAGGCCCAGGTGCAAGACATTTTTTGGGCCTCCCATCTAGCACAATAATGGAGAAAAGATAGATCCTCATCTGTTGTACAATTCCCACGATGCTATGCCAGTTGGGGATCTACCATTTGGTCATTCTTGCAGGGCTGTATTTGTGAGCAGTGTTTGTAAATTTGAATGTGAGCATGTAGTTGTATAGAGTATGTGTGTGCATGTACGGTGTAGTATTGGTGTTAGAGTGAAGGGGTGTGTTTCTATATACTTTTTGAGTTTGAATTCAGGGGCGTGTTTGTATGTAATGTTTGTGTTTGCAGGGGTGTGTTTGCATGTTGTGTTTGATTGCTTGGATGTATGACATACATTCACAGATATCCATACACATTAGCACACTGATACATGCACACATCTGGACACATGCACAGACTGGCGTATACACACACAGACACATACATACATACACACACACACAGATACAGAGATAAAAACACTGGCACATCCACACACAGAGATACACACTTACACACACTGACACAGATATATACACACATTAAGATGCACACAGACACACGGGTACACATGCAGGGGTGTATTTGTGTGCAGTGTTGGCGAAGGAATGCTGGGATGTATGCATTGCCACACAGATGCACGCTTACACAAACACTGAGATACACACAGGAACACAGATACACATGCAGTGGTGTATTTGTGTGCAGTGTTAGCGTTGGAATGTAGTAGTGTATATGTGTGCAGTGTTGGTACTGGAATGATGGAACGTATGCATTGCCACACGCATAGATACACACTTACACAAACTGACACTCATATACATACACAGATACACATACACAGACACGCAGGTACACATACAAACTGACACACAAGTACACGGACACAGGTATACATCCACATAGATACACATAAACACTGACACAAAGGTACACATACACTGACACAAACACAGCCAGATACACACACACTGACACAAACACAGCCAGATACACACACACTGACACTCACATAGCCAGATACACACATACAGCCAGATACAAACGCACACACATACAGATACACACACATGGTCAGATGCACACGCATAAAGTCAGATACACACACATAGTCAGATACACACACACTGACACAAACACAGCCAGATACACACAGACACTCACACAGCCAGATACACACATACAGCCAGATACAAATGCACACACATACAGATACACACACATAGTCAGATGCACAGGCATAAAGTCAGATACACACGCATAGTCAGATACACACACATAGTCAGATACACACACACACACATACAGTCAGATACACACATACAGTCAGATACACACGCATAGTCAGATACACACACATAGTCAGATACACACACATACAGTCAGATACACACACACAGTCAGATACACACACAGTCAGATACACACACATACAGTCAGATACACACACATAGTCAGATATATACACACACAGTCAGATATACACACACACAGTCAGATACACACACATACAGTCAGATACACACACAGTCAGATATACACACATAGTCAGATACACACACACACAGTCAGATACACACACACACAGTCAGATATACACACATAGTCAGATACACACATACAGTCAGATACACACACATACAGTCAGATATACACACATAGTCAGATATACACACATAGTCAGATACACACACATAGTCAGATATACACACATAGTCAGATACACACATACAGTCAGATACACACATACAGTCAGATACACACACATACAGTCAGATATACACACATACAGTCAGATATACACACATACAGTCAGATATACACACATACAGTCAGATACACACACACAGTCAGACATACACACACACAGTCAGATACACACACACAGTCAGACATACACACACACAGTCAGATACACACACACACAGTCAGATACACAGTCAGATATACACGCACACGGTCAGATGCACGCACGCGGTCGAGGATATATACACACACGGTCAGATGCACGCACACAGTCGGATATACACACGTAGTCGGATACACGCACGCTACAGTCAGATGCACACAGTCAGATACACACACATAGTCAGATACACACACATAGTCAGATACACACATACATAGTCAGATACACATACATAGTCAGATACACATACATAGTCAGATACACACATACAGTCAGATATACACATACATAGTCAGATATACACATACATAGTCAGATACACACATACAGTCAGATACACACATACAGTCAGATATACACACATACAGTCAGATATACACATACAGTCAGATACACACACACATAGTCAGATACACACATACAGTCAGATACACACACACATAGTCAGATACACACATACAGTCAGATATACACATACAGTCAGATACACACACACATAGTCAGATATGCATACAGGTCAAGTGCACGCACAGTCGGATACGCACACACGGTCAGACATACGCACACACAGTCGAGACATACGCACGCACGGTCAGATACGCACACACGGTCAGACAGCCGCACACAGTCAGGATGCACATACAGTCAGATACACACACACAGTCAGATATACGCACACACACAGTCAGATGCACACGCGAGTCAGATATACACGCACATAGTCAGATACGCACATACGGTCAGATACACACACATGCAGTCCGGATATACGCACACAGTCCGGATACGCACACAGTCAGACACTTACACACACACAGTCAGATACACACACATACGGTCCGGATACGCAGACGCAGTCGGATATGCACACACACAGTCAGATGCACGCACACATGAGTCAGATATACGCACATAGTCAGATACACACATACAGTCAGATACACACACATACAGTCAGATACACACACATACAGTCAGATATACACACACATACAGTCAGATACATACACATACAGTCAGATACACACACATACAGTCAGATATACACACACACAGTCAGATATACACACATAGTCAGATATACACACATAGTCAGATACACACATACAGTCAGATATACACACATAGTCAGATATACACACATTTATATCAATTTAAGTCTAGCCACCCTCTTGTCTCCTTACCTTTAGAGAAGGGTGGCTTCCCTGGGGTCCAGTGGAAGCTGGATGGCTGAGGTTGATGGGAGTCTGATGAACATGTTTACCTCAGTCCCTCTCCTCCCCCTCCTCCTCCTGTGTGTGCATCCTCCCTCTCCTCCACTTCCATGTGTGTCTCCTCCTCCCCAGCGGCACTCTGTTACTTGGGAGGAAGTGATCTCACCTCACTTCCTCCCAGCAGGCATACAGACAGGGGCCTGGTCAGGTGCTCTCTTAAAGGGCCGGGGGGCCCTGATTACTTCACTTGCCGCAGCCCACCGGAAGATTTCTCAGTATACTGGTGGGCTGTTCAGTCCTGGTTGCGGGCAGGGGGCCCACAGGGTAGCTGCTTTGGGCCCCCCAAGAGTTATTGGGCCCGGGGCAGCTGCCCCGTTTGCCCCTTGTTAAAGACGGCCCTGTGTGTACATGAATAATGGTACAGTTTCATGGGTAACGACTGGAGTATTTAAAGTTCTACCATCTATGGCCTCAATGGCCAAGGGTATCTCCCTCTCTGTGACGGGAATGTGATTTTTCGTAACAAAGTCAGAGTCAATGAAGTTCTCAGCAGCCCCGGAATCAACCAAGGCTAGTATGCTTTCAGCTATACAACTCTCTCCCGTATGAAGGGAAACAGGGAGAAGCAAACGGTTAGGAGGCAATTTAGGAGACTTAGATATTGTTAAGACACTCACCGCCAGGTAGATGAAGCCGTCGTTTAGTAAATAATCCCCTTCTCCAGAAATGCAGTTTATATCCAGCCGACCGCCAAACTCCCGAACGAAGTCCACGAACACGGCAACTCCCGATCAGCAAAACAGTCGAACGCCTTCCACAGCTAAAAATAACGAAGCGCTGTCCCAGTAATAATTCCCCCCACAAACGAGACCAAGCTCCGTCTTGAGGGTCAAATCAGGATCTGTTTAATGGGGGCTACCTGCCCGGTATTTATGCAGGTCTCCACAAGGTGGACACTCCCCAAGGGGACCTTGTGGAAGACTGTAAAACATATTGTACAGTAGCCAATCGCAGTGGCTTCACTATAAGCCCTTCCCATCTTACCCATAAATCCGTCTTCTCTACCCCGGAGATAATTAGGAAGAAACCTAATTATCTCCCAGGGTAGAGACAATCGCCATTTTAAATTACTGTAGTAAAAATACATTAAAATACATAACTGAAGAAATACCGAATGAATATAGTTCGTGTAACGTATCCCCAGACAGCCTGGATCTGAGTGCATGTTTTCACTGAATAGCGCTCAGATCCGATGTATCTAGTCGAATCGCCATGGAGTCAAAGTCTTTCACCAGTCCTTCGGTATATGAATGACTCCATGGGACGGCTGTCTGGGTAAAAGTCCATACGAATGAATACAAACTCCCGAACGACCGATGTTCGCATGCCTTGTCGAAATAGAAGGTGGGCAGCAGTTTCCAGCGGTGTTCGGTAGTTTAAGTGTCCGTTTTTAGTTCCATACAATTTGTACCGAACACCGCTATGCGTTCGTGTGTCCCAAAATGGCCGCTGCCTCGTGGTCGACATGCGAACGACGACCACCTGTGCGAATGGAATGGAGAGGTGTCTGCGGTTAACCACAACGTTCTAATTGGGGCCAAGAGGTTAACCAGCAGCACACTCCTCTCCTGGGTGGTCGTTCGTTCGGTAGTTTCAATCGGTAGTTTGCAAATTACACGAACGGGGGTATACTAACAGGAAATCCAGCGAACAAAAGGAAACAGATGAACCAGCAATACAGATGAATCTGTCACACGGCTCCCCCCTTGTGGGACACTCCGGCAGACCCGGCTTGACCCTTTGGCGGGTCAACGTGGCGATGACCGGACTAAGATGGGGTGAGGATGTCGGCTTGCCTGGACAATCCATCTGCATTCCCGTTCTGCTTACCAGGTCGATAACTGAAGTTATAGGGTTGTAGTGCTAAACTCCACCTCAGCAGTCTGCCATTGTCCCCGGAGACCCGGTTAAGCCAGACAAGGGGATTGTGGTCTGTCACCAGGGAAAATTCCTGTCCATATAAATACGGGCTTAACTTTTTCAATGTCCACACCAGGGCTAAACACTCCTTCTCCACTGCCGCATAACTCACTTCTCTGGGTAACAGCTTTCTGCTGAGATATGCGACAGGGTGCTCTCCTCCATCTTCCCCGACCTGGCTCAGCACAGCCCCCAGTCCATACATGGAAGCATCTGTATGGACGAGAAAACGTTTGTTAGGGACTGGGGCAGCCAGGACAGGGGCATTCACAAGAGCTTGTTTGAGTGCTTGAAACGCAGCTTCACAAGCTGGAGACCACAGGACCTGTTTAGGGAGATTTTTCTTTGTCAGGTCAGTGAGGGGTTAAGCAATAGTGCTGTAGTCGGGGACAAAGCGTCTATAGTACCCTGATGTCCCTAGGAATGCTAACACCTGGGTCTTAGTGATAGGTGTGGGCCAGTTAGCTACTGCCTCTATCTTGGCTGGCTCTGGTCTCTGGCTCCCACACCCTACTCTGTGACCCAGGTACTGCACTTCAGCCATGCCTAAATGGCACTTCTCTGGCTTCAATGTCAGGCCAGCGGCCCGAATTTTGTCCAGTACTACCCCTACATGTACCAGGTGTTCCTCCCAGGACTCACTGTAGATCGCAATGTCATCCAGGTATACACAAGCAAATTCCTGGAATCCATCAAGAAGTCTATCCACCATACGCTGGAAGGTAGCCGGTGCATTCTTCATCCCAAATGGCATGACCTTAAATTGGTACAGGCCAAATGGGGTGACGAAGGCCGACTTGGGGATAGCATCCTCGGCCAGGGGAATCTGCCAGTAGCCTTTGCACAGGTCTATGCTGGTCAGATAGCGTCCTCTGGCAATGCGATCTAACAATTCGTCTACCCGGGGCATCGGGTAGGCGTCAGTGGTGGTCCGCTCATTGAGGCGCCTGTAGTCCACACAGAACCGGGTGGTCCCATCCTTCTTGGGCACCAGGACTACAGGTGAAGCCCAAGGGCTATCGGAGTGTTCGATGACCCCCAGCTGGGTTATTTCCTGTATCTCCTTCCGCATTCCTTCTCGGACTGCTTCAGGGATACGGTAAGGGGGTTGTCGCAGAGGGTTCTGTCCAGGGGTTTCTACCTTGTGTACAGCTAGGGTAGTGTAACCAGGTTCTTGGGAGAAGGTCGCCTGCTTTTCCCACAGAAGCTGTCTTGCCTGGCCCTTCACGGTGGGGCTCAATCTGTCCCCTAGCTGTACCAGGCTAGTAAGATCCGTCTGGGGGTCCCTCTCTAACAAATCTGGTAAGGGTAAACTTTCTGTATCATCTGCAGCAGGGGCACATACTGCAGCGACATTCTCTGGTCTCTCCTGATACTCCTTTAGCATGTTCACATGGAAGGATCGCTGGATCCTTTCATCCGAACAGCTGGCTATAAGGTAGGTAGTATCACATATCTGCGCTAACACCTTATACGGGCCCTGCCACGATGCCTGCATCTTGTTTGCCTTCACAGGTTTGAGTACTAACACTTTCTGCCCAACCTGGAAGACTCGCTGTCGGGCACCCCGATCGTACCATCTCTTCTGTCTCCCCTGAGCCACCTGGAGATTCTCTCTTACCATTAGAGACAGTTTCTCCATGCGGTCCCGGAGTTCCAGAACATATGGTACTATGGGGGTCCCTTCCTGCTCTGTCTCCCCCTCCCAGTGGCCTCTAATGAGATCCAGGGGTCCGCGGACCCTTCTCCCATATAGCAACTCAAAGGGGGAGAACCCAGTAGATTCCTGGGGCACCTCCCTGTAGGAAAACAACAGGTGAGGCAGGAATCGCTCCCAATCTCTGCAAGTGTCAGAAAAGGTCCTCAGCATCTGTTTGAGGGTACCGTTAAATCGCTCGCAGAGACCGTTAGTCTGTGGATGGTAAGGTGAGCTAAGCAGCGGTTTAATGCCGCACACCTTCCACAGTTGCTGAGTGAGCACAGCAGTGAATTGGGTTCCCTGGTCAGAGAGAATCTCTTTAGGGAACCCGACTCTGGTAAAAATCCTAACCAGGGCATCAGCAACTGTCTCTGCCTCTATATTAGACAGCGCTACTGCCTCTGGATAGCGGGTGGCATAATCCACCACGGTGAGAATATATTTCTTACCGGATGGACTAGCCCTGGCCAGTGGACCTACAATGTCAACGGCTATACGGGCAAAGGGCTCCCCAATAATAGGCATAGACATAAGCCTAGCTCGGGGGTGGTCCCCCCGCTTTCCTACCCGTTGACATGTGTCACACGTACTGCAATACATCCGCACAGCCTGGT